AAGGATTCCATCAAAAGTATTCGAGCTCTTTATGTAGTTTCATAAAGAAAACCATGATGTAGGGTAAATGTCGATTTCGACACCCATTGGCTGATTTCAGTAACCAAAACGTATTTTAACTGTATTTGCCCATCAAAACACTTCGCTGAATGCATTCACACGCTTCCCAGTCTTTCAGCTTCAATCTGATTTCAGTTTTACGACTTAGCTATCCCGTTATGCCATGCTTTTGTTTATATGAAACATGTGCACTACAAAATGCGGCTGATTCCAAGTTGCCGATAATAGAACAGCTGGTTAACATGCAGTTCAAATGAAAAGGCTGCCGAAGAAAAAAAAAGACCATAGTCACATTCACCTGATAAGTAAAAATGTGTTCAAACCAACGAGTAAGTCACTCATCCATCGGCACACCTTCGGAATACCTTCAGTACACATTCGGCACAATCTCGTAGGCATTAGATTGTTGAAAATAAAATGGGAACACTGCTGGACAACTCCGGAGAAGTTCGAGATTAGGGCAGAATTGCTTTTGTAAACAAACACTTCATTTGACGAATTCTCGCGAATTATAGATCAATCTCAAAAACTCACAACACAAATAGGTATTTACTTACTTAAGGGTCCTGTGCACCACCAGCGGTGCAAAGGGCCAACGTGAAAGACTTTCATCCTGGGCGGCTGCTCGCTTTTGCCTTGACCTGGGCCCAGATCAGATTCCTATCGACATGCTTAATTTCCTTATTGAGGCTCCGCCGCCATGAGCCCCTGGGTCTGCCTCTGCTGCGATGTCCTGCCGGATTCCAATCCAGCGCTTGCTTGCAGATTTCGTTTCCGCCCCGTCGAAGTGTGTGGCCGACACACCTCCACTTTCGCTCTCGAATTTCTGTTTGCTATCGGCTTCTGATGACATCGACTATGGAGCTCAGCATTCGAGATCCAGTTGTGAGGCCATCAGGCACGAATTATATACCGCAGGCATCGGTTGATGAAGACCGGCAGCTTTTGAGTGTTCTCCGCTGATACACACCACGTCTCGCTGGCGTATAACAACACAGGTTTCACGTTCGAGTTGTAAATTCGGATTTTGGTGCGTTGACTTATCTGGTTGGATCTCCATACGTTTCGTAAACTCGCAAAGGCAGCCCAAGCCTTCTTGATTCGTGCACCTATGTCGCTCTTGGTCCCACCGTCCGACGCTATTTGGCTGCCAAGATATTGGAAACTTTCGACCTTCTCCACTGCTTGCCCCGCTATCGTAAAGTTGGAAGGGTTGCCCGTGTTGATATCCAACGATTTGGTCTTGTTGACGTTGATGGTGAGACCCGCCGCAGAGGAGCGTTCGGCTAGGTCATTGAGCTTACTCTGCATATCAGAGCGCCGTTGTGCTAGTAGAGCAACATCATCAGCCAAATCGAAGTCGTTGAGATGCTCCATGGTGATAGGCTGCCAAAGCAGCCCACAGTTCGGTACACGGTCAATTGCACCTACCATAATCTCGTCGATTACGATGAGAAACAGTAGCGGTGATAGTATACACCCTTGTCTCACACCAGCGACTACCCGGATAGGGTCGGACAAGGCTCCGTTATGCAGAACTCTGCACGTGAAAGCCTCATACTACGCTTCGATGAGGTTGACGATTTTATCTGGGACTCCCTTGCGTCTCAGGGCGCCCCACAGATTCTCGTGATTGAGACGGTCGAAAGCTTTTTCGTAGTCAATGAATACCAAATAAAAGGACTCTTGGAATTCATTGATCTGCTCCAGGATGATGCGGAGCGTGACAATATGGTCCACAAAGATCTTCCGGCACGGAATCCTGCCTGCTGCCGTCGGAGAGTCGTGTCGATCTTCTCCTGTATTCGATTCAGGATAATGCCGAGATGTTGATGTCTGGTTGGTCGTCGAAACTTGAAGAAGTTGTTCGAAGTGCTCAAACCAGCGTTTCAGTATAGTTTGTTCACGAGATTGTTCTTGTATTCGAAATCAGCGATTGACATATTTGTTTACAAAATCAATTACGCCCAAATCTCAAAGTTCTCCGGAACTGTCATTGAAGTTGTTCACAACATTACGTGCTGTTTGTATATCCAGGAACATTATCTAATTGAATAAACCAGATGAACTCAGACCAGCAGTTCTCTTATAGATCTAAATACGAAATGTAGGTTATAGAGTGGGCTCAAGAGAAAGAGGCAATTAATCGGACCCCATTAGTACCCTTAATTCAAATAATGCTGCAAATCACACAAAACAAACTAAAAAAGTCTATTCATCATCCTCTATAGTCGGTCTCCAACAATGCTACCCACCGGTTCCGACTCTTTCCGGCCGCTGATAGATCGATGCATTACACATCACGATATTATAAAACACTAATACACAGGACTTTTATTGCCCTATGAACACAAAACACCCAAAATTTCGCACACCCGCCACTTCCCACGTCATCCTCAGTCCGATTTATCCTTGCGATTTCAAACCTAAACATTAATGGTGGTAAACTCCAACTTGGATTTACTTTCCCTGGTCCCTGTTTGGATGGTATCCAAAGTTAGTTTGCTTAGCTCTGATGTCCACATCAAAGCAGCCTGACATTCTTGATCGGGATTTAATCCGAGGATAATACCAGTTGGAGTTTACCTCCATTAAGGTGTCAGAAATACCGGGTTGCCGGGATGGGTATTTTACAAACAACCGCATCTTTTTCTATGACCGGCACAATCAGCACATCTGCGGCACACTGGTGGCACACTGACAACAAATATGACTCAAGATTGGTGTGCGAAATGACCTACTCCTTGTTTCAAACAGTTTTGAACAGTTCTGTCGATTTGCATGGATAGATAAGCAAGCAGAAGATGAATGTAAACAAAGAAACACGTACACCCGGAAAACTTTGAGATTTGGGCGTAATTGCATTTGTAAACAAACACGTCTATCTCCGATTTCTCGTTAATTGAAACTCAACATCGCAAACAAACCATACCAAATGATAGAGGAATCATTTATCTACCTGTTTGTGCCATATTTTTTTAGATTGGGCTGTAATTTGAGAGAAATCGGCGATTTACATGTTTGTTTACAAAAGCAATTACGCCACTAATCTCAAAGTTCTCCGGTATGCGTAACGCTGAGGAAATGCTAATAGAAGCCCGCACGCTGCTTGGATTGACGAGAAGACGTAAATTTCTCTAGAACTAATATAATTCCTAACATTCCATGAGCATTAATTTTCGGTCAATTTTGGGTCCTTCTCGGCAATAACGGCAAGCCTCTTCCCGGGAAACAAAACCAACTTTCCAATTCCCCTAAGACTCCTTTCGTATTTCCAACCAGGTTGTTAAATAAATTTGTTTCAATCAGTTCCCACAACACAATAGTCTCATAATAGCTGCAATAGTTTCAATCAAACTGACAACAGAACAACGCATTTGGAATCAACTCAACGATTGATATTATTGTAATTCTAAACCATATGCACAAAAGAAATAAAAAACGAAAGCTACACTGTACTGATTCAGGGCAGTGTGCGGCTGTAGAAGCAAAGCATTCACTCTAATACCCCGTTCACACTACAGCCAATGATACGTGATACAGCCTACCTTGATATCAGAATCCTTTGATTGTTTGATACCAAGATACTCTATATCACGTGATTATAGGCTGTAGTGTAAACGTGGCATGACTCACACGCAGCACAGGGAAGCCTAAACAAATTCAAACAGCGAAAATAGTAAACAACTTAAACAATAGGCAAAGCACCGACCACCAGCCTTGTAAATAACCAAACAACTCCGATTTTGAAGGATTCAAACAAACACAAACAGCAGCAATCCGAAGCAATCACACACCATCATTCACTACTAAAAGCAGACAAAAAAGGGCTTAAATCTCGAGTTTGTATGCACTCAGAACGGCGTAAACGAAGTGGGCGAAAAAAGCGTTGAAAGAAAATGCCTTTCCAAGAGTTAAAGTTTATAAACACTAACATAAATTGACGAAACCGTAGTCGGTAGCAACCGGCTGCTTTCTACTGAGTCAAACTATTTAACTGAAGTAGCGAATTAAGCGTAAACAAACGACAAACGACATTTTGACACTTCAATCGTGACTTGTACAAAGCTAAACCAAAAATTTAAATTAGTTTACTGATCTCTAGTTAGTTTAATGTTTAAGAGCGTATAAGAGAAACTGTATCACGCAATCACGCATCTACAAATAGGAAGAGGCACACTTCAAAACACACCGACACACGCGCAGTTAGTTGTCACAGTTACCATATCCTCTTCTGTTCGCTGTTTGTTTTACAGTTTACACAATATTGACCTACTAATGATACAATCGCATAACATTGTTCGACATTGCTCGCTTGGATCCTAACCTGCGTATTTATTGGAGTTTGTGAACTGAGATACTAGTTTTAGAAAATCTTTCAAACTTACATAAATAGTTACTGATCACGAGCACACAACCTAGACCGTGTAAACAAGTGCAATACAAGAGCTACGGCGGGTGGTGGAGTAAATGTAATCCCCGCCGTAATGCGATCTAATCCAATTTAACAGACCAAAGAAAGCACATCATCTGGGATGCAAAATTAAATAGCAAAAATAGTGATTTTTGTTTTTCAGATTTTGGGTCAAAATCCGCTTCGTAGAACCAATAAATCACGTGCTTTTCGATTTTGAACGTGGAAGCGTGCTGCGTTCCATTCTATCGGTTGTCAAAAGATACACGAATGCAGCCAAAAATGGGCATCCATCATCGCCGCGCCGACTAATAAAACTTCTATTATTTGCACAAAAAAAAAGCTGTTTCGTACGCAAGAAAATAATCAAAGTTTGATGTTTATATTAAAATGAAAAACAGAAATCAATGCCGAAGGAGAAGGCAAATAAAATTCTTTGAAAAGAGAGTTCAGTTTCCCCTAATTGATCCGAAAGCACGGACGCAGCCATCCACCTTGAACTTCTCGCACTGATAAGACTCTGATCTAACATTGAATGAAGCCCTTTATTACAACTTATAGCTTTGTGAATAAATTACAATTTTTGGAAATGCGATTACACATAAAAAAAACCCCACCTTTCTAGTACATCGACAAAATCTGCCCCAAGTCCCGGTTCAGATGCGCATTGCTCCAATCGTTGTCCGTATTGTCCAGATAGTTATCGAAATCGTTCAGTTCCTTCATCGCTCCGCGCTGCAACAGACTGGAAACGGCATCGAACGTATTCTTCGAATCCTCCACCGAGCACTTGGCCACCTTGGCCCAGCGGCCATCCTTGCTTTGCCAAACCTTCAGCGCCGGGTAGTGCATGTTGATCGAAACGGCCCGATTGTCAATCTAGAAAAAAAATATAGTCCCATTATCCTATTCTACCATTTTCGACAAAAACACTCACCACAGCAAACACCGCTCCGCTCACGTTCTCCGCCACCTTGTCGGCAATGCGCGCTGCCGGAGCCTTCTCCAGGCTGTTGTCGTAGAAATTCTCCGCCGCGGCGTAGTATCCCAGCACCTGGAGGCCCTCCTTGGCGGCTATGGCTTCTACCTGGATGAGGGCAATTTCCGACATCGGAGTCACATGCAGACACTGGTGGAAGAGTGGAACCGCATCCAGCACCTTCTGGTCGTTTCCCTTGGCACCGAGCAGCAGCCCGTTTACGGCCAGGTGCGGATATTTGGCCGCGTGGAGCAGCATTTTGCAGTAGGCACGAGTGGAAAAGTTTACCTCGGACATGGTTGATGGCTAAAATTGGAATCGAATCAGAGCAAGTACGGAAAATTGATTTTCACTAATGGATGGCTAATGTTTTGATGTTGAGTGGTGGTGGTTGATTGGAATTTGACGTTGCTCAGTGACAATCGCAGATGGGCTGCGTATACGTATACGTCGGTTCGGTCTGCTTTATCGATCATTTTTAGTACAGGTGTGTTTAGTCTCGCAATGGGCTGACTCTTTCACAGAACCAATATTTATGAGCTGTTATTGTTGGTGTAACAACGGTCATGCCACCTTTCACTACACACCTTGATGCAAAGAGTTATCCTGTAGTGACAGTGATAGCGAAAGAGACGGTAGCAGAGCGAGAGCGCAGCATCAGCCTTCTGCTGTGTGCGCCATTTTGTATCATTCGCAAAAGCAAACTCGATGTGTGTAGATCTCGTGTAAATAAAGTTTATATCATCAAACATTAAAAAAAACTCGGCCTTTCATTCCGCTGGAACTTCAGTCCAAGAGTTATGTGCTGTTATGTTATTTTTGGCAAAGCTGAAAGCTGATGGTGTTTCATTTAGAACAACCGTAACGGTCGTTGTCATTTGCGCGACTATTCGCCTTGACACCAGTCCCGAGGGTGACGTTTCTTCACACACATTTTGACAGTTCCTTATGGGGTTTTGCGTTGGAGTGAGAGAATAAGAAAAAGTCCGCCATGTTTCACACATAGACTGACAGTTACATATGGGATTTCTCCATAGGAGTAAAGAGTTACAGAGCTTTCGTCAACGCCAATTTTAACAGCGCACAGCGCTCTCATTTTAGTTTAGTCACTCTTCTCCACACCGGTCGCTGCTATTGCGGTTTTCAATTTACTCGCCGTAGTCCGTACCGGTAGTGAGCATTTTGACATTTCTACGAATAGCACACGCTAACTTGAAAGTACTCATTAATGAGTAAAAAAAGACCCATTTTGAAGAAAAGTGGCTTTACTCATTAATGATTAAACAATTTTACCCATTAATGAGTATCTGTTACCCATTAATGATTAACAATGACTACTTACCACTACACCACCGGTGCCAGCTTAGTGTGGTACAATAGCAGGTGTATTTGAAAATTTTCCATCCTTTTTTTTCCTTGGATTTGTTTTCCGTCGATCTTGTTTGCCGTGCTGAGCACCACCCAACAAACATTGCAAGCTGAATAAAAGCCTATTCAGGCCAAAATATGCTTCTTCAGCTAAAAAATAGCTTATTCAGTTTTTAATCAGCTCAAATTGTATGTTGGGCAATGCTACCGACGTCACACCTGGACCCTACCTATCGACCCATCAACTCATGAACCGGGTATTGAAAGGTGTTGTCGAGGCAGTGGTTTATTGGCAAAAGAGAATGAGTATAATCTCACAGGAACTTATATAGCTAATTGATTAATGACAAAGCCTACTATTTTTTATTTCAGCTTCATGTTTCGGTTTGCTTCACATCACCCCCTCTCAAACCAAGCGTGTTACGATCGTTACGAAGCTTCTTGAAGCTCTCCTTCGGAAGGCCCTTGGTGAAGATATCGCAACTTTATCCTGAGTCGGTACATATCTCACCTCGATCTCTCGTTGCTCGATTCGCTCTCGAACAAAGTTGTACCGGATGTCAAGATGTTTGAGCCGTTTTTGGTTCCCAAAAAAAATGTAATATCGATCAACGTACTTCAAGCTGATGTATGAAATAATGATGTAATAGCAAAAAGCAGATACAATATTACATCATGGATGTAATTTTGTTCGCAAAACCGATGTACAACGTACAATGTGATATTACACAACCGATGGATTGAGGACAACGAAATGGTTGCTTGCTTGCGTGTAACCCATGTCACCGTGTTGCCGAAAACTTTGAAGCAGGATCCTGCCGTGGATCTTCTATCGTTCACATCGCCGCCCCAATCTGCGTCCGCAAACCCGAGCAGTGGAACGTACTCCTCGTCACGATGATAGACAAGGGAAAAATCCTTTGTCCCTTGAAGGTAGCGTAGGACTCTTTTGAGAGCCTTCCAATGTTCCTCTGATGGCGCACTCTGGAACCGACTGAGGACGTTAACAGCGGCACAAATATCCGGACGGAAAGACACTTGAATTGTTCCCGGTCATTGATAGATAGACAACGTACCTTGCTTCATGTCGTATTCGATTCGCAATCCCAAGAAATTATTCAACTCGTGAAGATCGATCATGTTGAACTCTGCACCCAGCAGCTTCTTGGTCGACTCCAACTTCTTCAAAGAATTGCACGCCAGAATGATGTCGTCCACATACAGGACAACGTAGATCTGGACCTTTCCTTCCGTTCTTGTGTAGAGACAGCTGTCATACCAACAATCAATACGAAACTAACGATTTTAAATTGGCTCACCACTTTAGTAGCCTATTGGTCCCAAGCAAACGATTAACGTACCCTATTCTAGTTGAAATTCTATTACTACACTATGTTTGTTTTGATTCGCTATGAAAGTTTGACAGATAACATCAGGGGTGTGTGGATTCATGCAAAACATGCAGGGGTCAGTGAAATAGCTTGGGACTGCTTGGGACCGTTGTTCTGGTACTGAGTGAGCCAAAAATAATAATGATTTTCTTCGGGACCCAGTGGTCTTAGAGTTACCTCTATGGTAATACCACAAACGAAGTGACAGACGGAGCGGCTCGAAAACTTTGGTGACGCACCTGCTAATGCAATTTTTCAGTGTACCACAGGGCAACACCACTACTACTGGATTGTGCCACATGGCAACACTACTAATGGATTGTACCACATGGCAACACTAAATGTACTAGAATGTTTTGGTTCTATCTCTTTCACTCTACTCTAAACTGAAATGCACTCTTTGCACACTGCACAGAAAAAAAAGTTGTTGAATATTACATCCAAACTGCTGCAACCAGGTCAATCCATCGGTTGTGTAATATAACGTTGTACGATATAGATCGATTTTGCGAACAAAATTACATCCATTGATGTAATATTGTATCTGCTTTTTGCTATTACATCATTATTTCATACATCAGATTGAATTACATTGATCGATATTACATTTTTTTTTGCTGTATGTCAAAGATCGTATTGCACACAAAATCAACTATGTTCAAATCAAAACAAAAAATACTAGCCCATCTAGTGGCAGATGGCACAAGCTTCTAAGAAAATTCTATTACAGCGAACCACATTATTTTAATTGATTTCTTCGCCAGTTAGTCGTCTGTCACTTCGTTTGTGGTAATACCAACAATCAATACGAAACTAACGATTTTAAATTGGCTCACTACTTGACTAGCCTATTGGTCCCTAGCAAACGATTAACGTGCCCCATTCTAGTCAAAGTTGTGGTACTACACTATGTTTGTTTTGATTCGCTATGAAAGTTTGACAGATAAAATGATGGGTTCGTGGATTTTTCTCTGTTTCGAGGGGTGCATCGATTAGCTTGGGACCGAAGATAATACCAGAGCTGAGCCAAAAACTTGAGCACTTCTCTTCGGGACCTACTAGTCTGAGAGTTACCCCTATGGTAATACCCCGTACAGACTATGGCTTATATCATGTAATATAGGCTCTTCTGCAATGAGCACTCATACATCAAGTTTTCACTGGAAATCCTATGTAAGAGTGCTCATTGCAAGACAGCCTAAATTACATGATATAAGCCATAGTCAGTACGGGGTATAACGTGCGTACGGTACTCATTCGAACCACTGAAGCATACACAGCAAAAAAAAATGTAATATCGATCAACGTAATTCAAGCTGATGTATGAAATAATTATGTAATAGCAAAAAGTAGATACAATCATGGTGGGTATATAAATGGTGATACAGCTTTGTCACTATATAGGCGAGGAGGTCGCGGGGGGGGGGGGGGGAAAGTGCGGTTTTAGAGCAAATTGTAAACAAACTCGGTCACTGTCCCATACAAAAATCCAACATGGCTGAATCATGAATTTGACACATTAGAACACCTATTTGTAGTCACCTTGGATACAATATTACATCAATGGATGTAATTTTGTTCGCAAAATCGATGTACATCGTACAATGTGATATTACACAACCGATGGATTGACCTAGTTGCAGCAGTTTCGATGTAATATTCAACAACTTTTTTTTGCTGTGTACGTTTCTTGGTAGTCCAGTCCGAACCGTTGAGAGCAGCCTTTCGCTACTATTTAGTCGCGCCTTATACCTGCTTACCGAATTGTCATTGTTGTATTTGATCTTGAAGACCCACTTACAGGACACCGCCCGGCAGCCATCAGGAAGGTTCCAAGTGTTATTCTTCTGCAACGACTTGATTTCATCGTCGATCACCAACTTCTACTCCTCCCAGTCATCCCGCCGCTTCAGTTCGCCTATGGTTTCCGATAGATTTTGTTTGTAGCTTTCAGCAGGCATGGAAAATCATTTACATTCATTTCATGCTTGATTTACATTCATTTGTTTCTAACTTTTTTCATCAACAGCATTCCGCAAAATGATGCATAGAGCTTTAGTAGGTATGGTTATTAGCTACAACTTTTGCCCATAACTCAAATCTGTATCTCTTATGCATCACGAATTAGAGCGGGCAGAACTCGTTACTGTTTTTCAGTGAATGTAAAATACATTCACTGAAAAACAGTAGTGGATTATGTTTGCTCTGGTTTGTCAAGCATAAGAGATACGGATTTGAGTTCTTAACAAAAGATGTAGTTAATAACAAAACCTACAAAAGCTAAATACATTATTTTGCGGAATTCTGTTGATGAAAAAAGTTAAGGGCAAATGAATGTAAATGAATGCACGAAATGAATGCAAATGATTTTCCATGCCTGGCTTTCAGCATTCAGCGCAAACGCTCCGTACAGCTGATAATCGGAGAACTTGCTTGGTTTCTTCCTGTTCCGCCCACTTCACCTTGCCGGTTCTGTTTCTTCATCCGGTTCCTATTCGAGTTGAGTTCTTGATTCTTCCCTATCGGACACAAGGTGGTCCGACGTGTAAACTGGTGACATTTTGTGCTTGATCTCTTCAACTACTACATCCCGCGAAATGAAAACCTTTCGCTTTTCCGAGTCCCACAGCCTGTACCCGTTTACAGCGTATCCGACGAAATTGCACAACTTACTCTAATCGTCCAGCTTGCTTCTCTTCTCCTTTGGGATGTGGACAAACGCCTTGCTTCCGAATACTCGCATTTTCGAAACATTGGGCTTACTTCCGTTCCATTTTTCAAAGAGGGTCACCAGCTCCTGCAACGCTGATGTTGGGCTTCTGTTGATCGTGTAGACTGCTGCTTGCACCGCTTCGTTCCACATATGCCACTTGAATCCAGAGTCGTCCAGCATCGCTCGAGATCGTTACATGATGGTCCGATTCATGCGCTCCGCAACGCCGTTTTGCTGTGGCGTATAGGGCGCTGTAGTCTCCATCTTTATTCCTTTGGCTTCACAAAAACTGATGAATTCTTCGTTGACGTACTCGCCACCGTTGTCGCAACGGATGCGCGGCACCCTGCGCGCGAAGTGTGCCTCCGCCATCGCCGAATAGTTCCTGAACATTGCCAGTACGTCACTTTTCGCCTTTACGATGTACACCGCCGTGAAGTGCGTGAAATCGTCGATGAAGGTCACGAACATTTTACCTCCATCCCAAGCTTCCGGCTTGAATGGTCCACACACATCCGTGTGTATCAATTCTAACGGACGGCTCGATCTTGCTTGCGGTGTGTCCGCAAATGATAGCCGCACTTGCTTCCCTTTCATGCACGATTCACAAATTTTCTCGTCTTCTTCCAGGTTACTTCCAATTTCCAGGCCGTCCACCATGTTGTCTCGAACAAGCTTCCTCAGACCAGAACTTCCGATGTGGCCGAATCGTCGATGCCACAGAACCATTCGATTTTTGGTATCTGCAGTGAGAGCCGACTCAGTTGGTGGATGGATCAGTTCGACATCCAGCTCGAACAATTTCGTCTTTCGTGTGGCCGTACAAACCTGCGAACCATCTGCCTTCGTGATGTACGCATCATCCCATGTGAACATGGTACGCATTTCTCGTTCCCCAATTTTCAATTGCTGTCCAGACTTCGCTACTGTGATGACAACCGGTTGGTCGAGACGATACACGTTGTGCAGAAACTTCTTATCCTTGACCGGTGCTCGGAGGCTCCGCTATCAAGCACCCAACGAAATTCATTGCCATCGGTGTTACTTCTGTCGTCCGTGCCCACGAACGCAACATCGTATTGTGTATCAGCAGCATTAGCCTTCTCCTTGGGTTTCTTTTTCTGCTTCCCCGACGTCTTTTCCGCACCGTGCTCCTGCTTCCGGCTGTTACTCAGATAATCTGCTCGCTTATGTCCGGGTTTACCACATGCGTGGCACGTGAAAACGAACTTCTCCCCTTTTCCAGCAAACGCCGTGCCAGATTCAGATCGCACTTCGCCAAGCTGTCGTTTCACACCTTCGCTCAGCAACCTCATCTTGACGAATTCCAACGAGCATTGTTCCACTGGCAAAGTCTCCAGCACCGTAAACAACTGACTGAAGCAACTTGAAAACGGTCACCTTTTCGTCGAACTTCACTCCAGCAGATTCCAAATCTCGAACATTCTTCTCGAAGGCAACAATGTGTTCCTCCAACGGGCAATTTTCGTCGTATCGCATTACTGACATTTGCTTGAGCAGGTAGAATATGCCAGCGACGCCTTTCTTCTCGAACAGCCGTTCCAGCGTGGACCAAATTTCCTTCGGAGTGGTTTTTCCTTTTATGAAGTCAAGGTGCGAATCCACGATCTTGTGGATCTAGAGATGAACTAGCCTATATGGCTAAAAATCTCTTAGATAAAGATAAAAAAAAATCTTGTGGATCAATATAGATTGCACTTTGCGTCCTGTTGCTTTCGCCGTTCCCGCGATTGGTGTTTCTGCGTCTTCACTTCGGCGGTGTCCGCCGCCGCATCGACGAAAAAATCTTCTTCTTCCAGGCTCTTCCGGATGCAGTACTGCAACTCCAATTCTTCCAGGTACGCTTCCAACCTGTAGCTCCAATTTGAGAAGTTCGTTCTGTCGAACAGGTACACCCGTTGCGTTCTTTCTTCGTCCATTCCGCTTCCAGTCGTCCGAACCGTAAAACCGTAAGCGAGACTTTTACCAAAAATCAATACGAAACTAACGATTTTAAATTGGCTCACTACTTGACTAGCCTATTGGTCCCAAGCAAACGATTAACGTACCCCATTCTAGAGTCGGTGTATAATGAGTCACGCCAAGAGAAAAACAGTTGAACTCGCATCACGGTTTTCGAAGGATTCCCTTTCTTTTCACTTGGCAACAGAGGACTTCTGCATCAACTTCAAATGACTTCTAGCTAGAACAAAAAATTGCGGCTGTAGTGAATCATTATATCAGTGATTTTGTCAAATTATCTTATCAAACAATAGTAGAAATTCTCATTACTGATCATTAGCAAACGTATCCCATGACAATTTAATGCTCTCTGCGTGTTTATGATCATTTCTTCAATTTTATTTTATATTTTATTGCAATACCTTTCGTGGACCTTTCATAGCATCGTAATGTTTGTTTACTTTGCACGATAGGTAGCCGGTTTGACAGTTCAATAGGTAGACTTGGCTTCACTCTTGGCGTGACTCATTATACACCGACTCAACCCCATTCTAGTCGAAATTCTACTACTACACAATGTTTGTTTTGATTCGCTATGAAAGTTTGACAGATAAAATGAGGGGTTAGGGGATTTTCTTATGTTTCGAGGGGTGAATCGATTAGCTTGAGACCGAAGATAGTACCAGAGCTGAGCCAAAAAGTTGAGCACGTTTCTTCGGAACCTTCTAGTCTTAGAGTTACCTCTACGGCAACAGTCTCAACGTACTATAAGCGGTCGTTTCAGCCTCTGGTGGTGAATAGGGACACAGACAAACAGACGTAGCTCTTCATTCTAGATCATCCTTTGCACATTTAACGATTGGTTTGGCTGCAGCGCTGGCATTGGATCACTTTGCCGTTTCTAGATGTTCGATTGTTCGATTTTTTTTTTGCATGCAACATTGTTTGCGAATCAGCGAGCAAGCTTGTTTTCCGCGAGAAGCCCGCGAGGTGTCGTTACTGAAGTTCTATGTTTCGCGGTACTATGTTTTGCAGATAATTTAGTCGAAGAGTTATGTCTGTTTGTCTGTTGGGTAACCCTCAATAGAGTAATGAGGGAGGAAATTTTCACCGTGAAGCATTGGAAGAAGAATATATTTTCACTTTTCCTGATTAACTTATCTGTCGCAGGTGCCTGAAATCATCATCAACTTGGAATATTTTGTTTTCTGTATCGATGTTGCAGTAATCCGGCTGTTGATGAGAAAAATTAAGATTTATAAAACTATCCCAGCGGTTTTGATCTTCCGGATTTTTACCATGTGACTATTTGAGCTGTAAATCAGTTTAGATCTGTGGAAAATAGTAAAATAATGCCACTCGCGATGGAAATTTGTAAGATATGCATAAAAATATGCGTTAATTTGAGATGTAAACAAATGGTTTGGTTGACGTTTGCTCACCGACAAACCGAAATGAAACTTAAGCTTAACCAAATATATCATATTAAAAATATGATCCATTCATGCCTTTTCCAAATGTTGCGATGGCGACCCGCAAAATATTGCTTCACGCGCCATCTAGCGTTGAAAAAGGTCAGCAACAATCATTCAATTACAATCGATGGGTGCGAATATAGCACTTATTACAAAAGTAAGAGTCGAATTATTTTCATTAATTACATTGTGTATATTACTTTAAAATTTGTCTGACATGTCACCATGTGTTGTCATCAAATAAAATAAAATGCTGAAATACATTCATTTGAAATATTAAACAAATTTTCATTTGGTTTACCCCTTATGACGATAAACAAATACATTGGTAGCCTTTTTGGCCACAGAGGTGCTTTCATCGCTAAAAATTCGGTTCGCCAGCTAAGCGAAAGGGTGGATCATATTGTTAATATAATATATTTGGCTTAACTCTTGATCGAGAATCCAAAACGGCCGATTCAAATGAGCAGCGATCCCATCTGTCGAAACCATAGAAATGTTTTATTTGGATAAAAATACTATCACCTTTCCGAAAGTGGTATTGGTTTACGTGGGCGTACTTTGGTTGGCGTGTAAAGGGCCTTAGAAAGTTTGTTTACAAATGCTTTTGTGCAGTTATCAAATGTTATGCCTGATTTGTCCGAAATAGATTAGACACGAACCAACTCATAAATTTTGTACGCGTGTTTGTGGCTAGGATAAATATTTTCCGCGAACACGGCGGCAGATGTCAGTTTGGTGCTTTGATCAGACATTTCTTTGTAATTTGTATGATCATTCATGTCGGTTTGTCGGTGGTTTTCTCTCATAATCGCCTGGCGCACTCTACATTGGTGGTACACCGAAGTAATAGTAGCAGCAGTGTTTGGAAAACACGTGTGTTATGTGTGAGATGTAATTGTTGCGATGTTGCTCGTTCATTACGCGATGCGAATCGACTGGATGATCTGGAAGATTGCCGATCCGCACACGACGAAGATGAACAGTGCCAACAGCCAGGGTCCCACGGGGTACACACTTAAATTTTTTCGCCGAGATTCCAACAGTCGAGCAGTTCTGCAATTTATTTTGCTGAGATTCAGTAAAACAATTGCCGAGACTCAGCTAACAAATAACTGTTTTGCTGAGATATCAGCTAACAAACAGATATTTTGCAGAGATATCAGCAAAAGTTAATGCCGAGGTAATCGGCTGTTGGAGATTTTACCGAGCTAAATTAAGTGTGTACTTTTCCTCAGCGGTCTTGTTCGTTTTGGGCACATTGCCGCGCTGGGTGATGTTGCGACTGGCCTTCTCGTTGGCCATGCGGATTCTCTGCTGTGGAGCCATTGTTTGCTGTGTTTGGTTGTGGGTTGTCTAGTATGTGCTGTGGAAGAAGGACAAGAAAATGCAATTGATTTATGAAGGCTTTGAAAGTTCTGGTATTACTAGATTATCAATATAGATTCTGTGATAGGGGAAATTACGGCTTCGGCATGCCAGACTATTTTCGGCAACCCAAATTGAAACACTATTTTCACTAGATTTTCTTACGAAAACACTTCGCTGAATGCATGCAAACGATTCTTTATGCTTTCAGCTTCAATTTGACTATACTTTTACCACTGAGAAAAAGCAATCTAGCAAGGTTTTCTTGAAATGAAACACACGCACTACAAATAGTAGCTGATTTCGAGTTGCCGATAATAGAACAGCAGATTTACATGCAGTTCAAATGAAACGGTTGCCGACAATACTCGCTCTCACTAGAGAAGATTGGAGCTTTGTAAAAGCGTTTCAAAACAGTTTTTGACAATTCTTCCGACTGAAATTGTTAGAGCAGCTGGCAGCAAAAGATTGTAAACAAACCAATACTGCATATGTGTGCGTTCCTTAGAGAAAAAGACTAAAGAAAGATGATCGCTGCTTAGGTTGCCGAGAATACGTAAATTCCCCTACATGAACATTAGATTCAAAACCCCAAAAAAGGTAAAGATTGATGAAGGTTTAGAGGTCGCACGCATGATTTGAAGTTTGTATGTGAATTTCGGTGAATTAGTATGGGAAATTATTGATTTTCACCGAGGGGGGCGACTCTATCTTTGATGCAGGAAAAATTGTGTTTTGCTGTGGTTAGCTGCGCGCACACTGAGTAGATAGAAAGAAGATTGATGTCGATTATGAAGATTTCCTTCAAAAAGATGATGCGCGATGCAAGTAGATGTGAGTAATGAAAAAATATTTTTCGAAGTTTGATTCGCTAGTGTAAGATTTGTTGAGCATCTAGAATTGTGATTTAGATGTGTCGCCCCCCTCGATTTTCACTATAGTTGCCTGTTGTTCTGATGAAATTGACGTTGTTGACTCGCACATATTCATCTGTTAATTCACAGTATTTTGTATTTTTATTCGCATTTCTATCTTTCTATCTTGTAAACCTGATCGTAACAATAGACGATAAAATTGCGATAACAAGATAGTAATACTTGAATATCAAAGTATAGAGTTGATAGTTCCGTTAGAGCACGGCAGTGTAAAAATATAGAGAGTAGAAAGGTCAATTTTGAGGAAGGTACGAATCGGATTGATCATCTCCTTTACCAAACTCACCTGTTGGGGAGGGATGCTGAGGGGTATCTCCCCCCGCTACCACTGGCAAAAGAGATGATCGCCGATCTACTCACGTACCTTCGATGTGCGTAAACAGTGCTATCGATTGTTTCACACTCAAGTCGTCATCTGACGCAAGCATCTAGTCGATAGGTTTGGAAATTGCAGCTATTGTTGCATCTACCGCTGTATGTCACTGTCATCGTCAACTTAACGATCTCGAGGAGACTTGCTCGCTTTCTACTCTCCATATACAATTTTCACACTGCCGTACCATAGAGGTAACTCTAAGACTAGTAGGTCCCGAAGAAACGTGCTCAGCTTTTTGGGTCAGCTCTGGTACTATCTTCGTTAGTTTCCACCGGTTGGTCGTACTCTAACGGAGCTATCAACTCTGTACTTTCAACTCCATTCATCTATCGTATAAAATGACCACTGATATATGTCGTTAAGCATCTCTAACTATGTAAAACATATAAGTTTTTTTTCAACATTTGGACAAGTAGATGCAAACTTAGAGCGATATACGAGATTTTTGAAATTCTTCCATAGTAATTCCCATACAAATTTCAAATCAATGGCGTGACCTCTAAACCTTCATAATTTTTTACCATTTTTTGCACAGGTTCATATTTTGGGGTTATTAATCGAACTGTCAAAAATTCATCACTTTTTTTTAACGAGGCAACCTAATGAACATATATACCGTAACCGATCGTATACAGTGTATATCTATAAATTACTTATAGGTACTAATTTAAAAGAAGAGACAAAATTACAAATTCAGTTTGACAAGCCTTGCGATGTTAGTTGTCTCAAATCCACAAGACTTAAACAAAGGTTCTGAAGAATTCTATGGGAAGTTCAAATAGCTGTCAATGAAATATTACAGGACTAAAAGGAATGAAGAAGTTCAAAGGGGCCTAACATAATCTGGTAATTCAAAGCACGGTGTTACAAATCCGGAGGTAGCAGGTTCGATTGCCGGTCCAGTATAGAAAATCTTTCGGCTTGGAAATGTTCTCGACTTCGCTGGGCATATTTTTAAATTACTTTATTCAATTGTAACAAGGTTACAAGTATTCAAAAAAATAAGTCCTAGAATACAGTCCTACACAACCCCATTAAAATTACTATTTTCACACGAGCGAATCGCATTCCTAGTCTCTGGACTCGAACCGGTCAGAAACGTCAGGCGAGGAATATCGAATGACGACGGGTAGGTAGAGTTTATGCCACCGGAAAAACTCTCCCGAGTGTGTATAATGGGACACGAATTCTGACCTGACAAACTTCGGTTCGATACTGGGTCGTAAAAGTAGACGGCTGTCCAATTGAATGCTATCTGATCTCAACTGCGTTACCGATCACACGGTCAAAGATAGTTTATCTAGTGAAGGCAAGAATTAAAAGAAGTAGGAGTACCTAGTCGATGTAGAAAGGTCTAGTGGTTAAAAAAAAAGCCGTTTGCTGAATTAGTGATTTTTTCCGGGTTTGTAGAATAAAAGTGCGAGTAAATTTTGCTTTACTAAGCCAGTTCAGTTTACAGCTAGGGAAGCCATAGTGTAAAGTGTGAGGACGCTTCGCTTGCACAAGCAAGTGCCAGCCATTTCGAAAGGTAAATCCGTCAGCTATGAAAATGATAAAATCTATCACGGTGATATGTTTGAAGGAACAATCCCTTCAAACAAGGGTGCACCCCTCGGGTCGTGGATCCAGAACGACCGAGCGAAGGACGGATCCCTTCATTGAGGTCGACTCGCAGGGACGTCACCGTACACGTGTTGGACTGATTGGAGTCGGAACAAACGGTTCACTCCTAACCTCACACACGCCATCTGCAGATCAGCCACGTGCATTACCTCTGGGAAGCTTTGCGCGAACGTCGAAAGCACGACGGCTTGGTGAATCCCAACCTCACCATAACCTCAACGTAGCGGTGAGTAGCGAACGTTGCACGGGGAGGGTGTAATACGCTAGCAGAGCCACAAACCTCTTACACGACAAAACGACGGACACCAGCGAACGAACATTTGCCACCCACGCACTCGGCCCACGTATCGCCGAGGCTGAACCACGGACACGTGTCCCGACATCCAGCGCTACAGAAGTCAGGTTAGCACAGATCAAAACCCTATTCGATGTACCCCCTACTAACCCTAGTTTTTATGAATAAACACCTGAAATGCACCTCGCAGTGAAGAGATTCGAATAAGTGATCGGACACGTGAAAGAGTGACGGAAGCATTTAATTGGTTAAATTCGCGTGAGCGTTGTTAATTATTCCCGTAGGTAAGCAGAGGCAAACCTTCAAAGGAAACCCCTCTTACTGATTTGAATGAGTCTTTCCCCTGTTGGTTAAGTTTTGATTTTCAGAATTCGCAACCGCTTTGCTCGCCTTTTGTTGTTACGAGTGAACTCGCCCTGAGGTCTCAGAGCCGGGACGGGTCTGTTTGAGTCCCTCGCTTCTTCACGGTAGATTCTCGTATCTACCTGGCGCTTAAGTGAAGATTGTAAGCATTCCTAGTTCCAAAACACCTGACCCGTTTCATTTGGCGCCCAACTAACGGTTGATTGAATTGGATGAAAAGTTTTTTGAATTTATTGAATTTTCTTAGTTATTTTGAAATTTAGCATATAGGCAGCATTAATTTGGTATTGAACTAGTAGGTAATTTTGTAAGAGTGAATTGAGTATTTCGGGTGAATTATCATTAAAATTTTGAGATTAATTATCGATTTTGTACATAGTAGGCTTAAGAAACTAGAATTGAATTTGAATTTATGTGTTTGTCCAATATTTACTTCCTAATCACTTAAAATTGAATTTTTTATTTACTTTACTTCTGCATTTACTTTGAAACGCTTATCGTTTCTTTATACTGATTCTATAATTATTTAAATTCTACTCAAAATGAGTAATCGAGATCCTGATGTAGTAGGATCATACATAAATCCGCTTGACTTGTTGCCAGACGAAGTTGATTATGAACTAAAGCTTCGATGTGTGTCCATTTTGGGGACCATCCACGAACGTAGGCAGAAATTGCGGCGGGTTCAGCTAGAAGAAATAAGAAGACCAAAAGTTCTGTTTACAAAAAAGTCAATTGTCGAAGAATATCAAACGGTTAAAACAAAGGTCCTTGATTTGAAACACGTACTGGAAATTTTTCCGGAACCTAAACTGATTTCGAGGCTCAGGCATTGTAGAGGGAGAATACTACGCGCAAATACTGTTACAAGGGAACAACTAAGGGTTAAGACGGAACTGCTAGGAGAAGTTGAAGGTCTGTTAGATCGTTACGGAAACCCTGAGGATCGTCGACGTGGCATGTACGACCCGCAAGACGAACTACAAGGAACACAGGACATGTCAGGGAGAAGTAACATTCTAGATGATCGCTCAACAATGGATGTGCCAGGACAACTACAGCCACCTCTAACACCCCTCACGGCTCACAGTACACCACGGAGACAAGAAGATAACCTGTTGGATTTAGCGGCGGGAGGGGTCGAAGAAGATCAACACGTTGAGGACATACCAAGGCAAGTTTCGGGAAGTGAAGGTTCAGACGATTATCGACTGCCACTACTACCCAATGAAAGCAATCCATACCAGCAGACACCACTTTTGAACCGCCGGAATTGGAAGCCAAATGGGAATGAAGGTAACGGACAAAATCGGAACTCCGTTCAACCCCTTGATGCAGACTGGAGGCGAGAAGTAAATGAAATGATTGA